GCCTACCCCCCCCCCCGTCCCTCCTCACCAGGCCTAACCCCCCCCCCGTCACTCCTCACCGGGCCTAACCCCCTCCCCGTCACTCCTCATCAAGTCTAGTCACCTCCCCGTCACTCCTCACTGGGTCTAGTCACCTCCCCGTCACTCCTCACCGGGCCTAACCTCCTCCCCGTCACTCCTCCCCAGGCCTAACCACCTCCCCGTCACTCCTCATCAAGTCTAGTCACCTCCCCGTCACTCCTCACTGGGTCTAGTCACCTCCCCGTCACTCCTCACTGGGTCTAGTCACCTCCCCGTCACTCCTCACTGGGTCTAGTCACCTCCCCGTCACTCCTCACTGGGTCTAGTCACCTCCCCGTCACTCCTCACTGGGTCTAGTCACCTCCCCGTCACTCCTCACTGGGTCTAGTCACCTCCCCGTCACTCCTCACTGGGTCTAGTCACCTCCCCGTCACTCCTCACTGGGTCTAGTCACCTCCCCGTCACTCCTCACTGGGTCTAGTCACCTCCCCGTCACTCCTCACTGGGTCTAGTCACCTCCCCGTCACTCCTCACTGGGTCTAGTCACCTCCCCGTCACTCCTCACTGGGTCTAGTCACCTCCCCGTCACTCCTCACTGGGTCTAGTCACCTCCCCGTCACTCCTCACTGGGTCTAGTCACCTCCCCGTCACTCCTCACTGGGTCTAGTCACCTCCCCGTCACTCCTCACTGGGTCTAGTCACCTCCCCGTCACTCCTCACCGGGCCTAACCACCTCCCCGTCACTCCTCACCCGGCCTAACCACCTCCGCGTCACTCCTCACCCGGCCTAACCTCCTTCCCGTCACTCCTCACCAGACCTAACCTCCTCCCCGGCACTCCTCACCGGGCCTAACCCCCTCCCCGGCACTCCTCACCGGGCCTAACCCCCTCCCCGGCACTCCTCACCGGGCCTAACCCCCTCCCCGGCACTCCTCACCGGGCCTAACCCCCTCCCCGGCACTCCTCACCGGGCCTAACCCCCTCCCCGGCACTCCTCACCGGGCCTAACCCCCTCCCCGGCACTCCTCACCGGGCCTAACCCCCTCCCCGGCACTCCTCACCGGGCCTAACCCCCTCCCCGGCACTCCTCACCGGGCCTAACCCCCTCCCCGGCACTCCTCACCGGGCCTAACCCCCTCCCCGGCACTCCTCACCGGGCCTAACCCCCTCCCCGGCACTCCTCACCGGGCCTAACCCCCTCCCCGGCACTCCTCACCGGGCCTAACCCCCTCCCCGGCACTCCTCACCGGGCCTAACCCCCTCCCCGGCACTCCTCACCGGGCCTAACCCCCTCCCCGGCACTCCTCACCGGGCCTAACCCCCTCCCCGGCACTCCTCACCGGGCCTAACCCCCTCCCCGGCACTCCTCACCGGGCCTAACCCCCTCCCCGGCACTCCTCACCGGGCCTAACCCCCTCCCCGGCACTCCTCACCGGGCCTAACCCCCTCCCCGGCACTCCTCACCGGGCCTAACCCCCTCCCCGGCACTCCTCACCGGGCCTAACCCCCTCCCCGGCACTCCTCACCGGGCCTAACCCCCTCCCCGGCACTCCTCACCGGGCCTAACCCCCTCCCCGGCACTCCTCACCGGGCCTAACCCCCTCCCCGGCACTCCTCACCGGGCCTAACCCCCTCCCCGGCACTCCTCACCGGGCCTAACCCCCTCCCCGGCACTCCTCACCGGGCCTAACCCCCTCCCCGGCACTCCTCACCGGGCCTAACCCCCTCCCCGGCACTCCTCACCGGGCCTAACCCCCTCCCCGGCACTCCTCACCGGGCCTAACCCCCTCCCCGGCACTCCTCACCGGGCCTAACCCCCTCCCCGGCACTCCTCACCGGGCCTAACCCCCTCCCCGGCACTCCTCACCGGGCCTAACCCCCTCCCCGGCACTCCTCACCGGGCCTAACCCCCTCCCCGGCACTCCTCACCGGGCCTAACCCCCTCCCCGGCACTCCTCACCGGGCCTAACCCCCTCCCCGGCACTCCTCACCGGGCCTAACCCCCTCCCCGGCACTCCTCACCGGGCCTAACCCCCTCCCCGGCACTCCTCACCGGGCCTAACCCCCTCCCCGGCACTCCTCACCGGGCCTAACCCCCTCCCCGGCACTCCTCACCGGGCCTAACCCCCTCCCCGGCACTCCTCACCGGGCCTAACCCCCTCCCCGGCACTCCTCACCGGGCCTAACCCCCTCCCCGGCACTCCTCACCGGGCCTAACCCCCTCCCCGGCACTCCTCACCGGGCCTAACCCCCTCCCCGGCACTCCTCACCGGGCCTAACCCCCTCCCCGGCACTCCTCACCGGGCCTAACCCCCTCCCCGGCACTCCTCACCGGGCCTAACCCCCTCCCCGGCACTCCTCACCGGGCCTAACCCCCTCCCCGGCACTCCTCACCGGGCCTAACCCCCTCCCCGGCACTCCTCACCGGGCCTAACCCCCTCCCCGGCACTCCTCACCGGGCCTAACCCCCTCCCCGGCACTCCTCACCGGGCCTAACCCCCTCCCCGGCACTCCTCACCGGGCCTAACCCCCTCCCCGGCACTCCTCACCGGGCCTAACCCCCTCCCCGGCACTCCTCACCGGGCCTAACCCCCTCCCCGGCACTCCTCACCGGGCCTAACCCCCTCCCCGGCACTCCTCACCGGGCCTAACCCCCTCCCCGGCACTCCTCACCGGGCCTAACCCCCTCCCCGGCACTCCTCACCGGGCCTAACCCCCTCCCCGGCACTCCTCACCGGGCCTAACCCCCTCCCCGGCACTCCTCACCGGGCCTAACCCCCTCCCCGGCACTCCTCACCGGGCCTAACCCCCTCCCCGGCACTCCTCACCGGGCCTAACCCCCTCCCCGGCACTCCTCACCGGGCCTAACCCCCTCCCCGGCACTCCTCACCGGGCCTAACCCCCTCCCCGGCACTCCTCACCGGGCCTAACCCCCTCCCCGGCACTCCTCACCGGGCCTAACCCCCTCCCCGGCACTCCTCACCGGGCCTAACCCCCTCCCCGGCACTCCTCACCGGGCCTAACCCCCTCCCCGGCACTCCTCACCGGGCCTAACCCCCTCCCCGGCACTCCTCACCGGGCCTAACCCCCTCCCCGGCACTCCTCACCGGGCCTAACCCCCTCCCCGGCACTCCTCACCGGGCCTAACCCCCTCCCCGGCACTCCTCACCGGGCCTAACCCCCTCCCCGGCACTCCTCACCGGGCCTAACCCCCTCCCCGGCACTCCTCACCGGGCCTAACCCCCTCCCCGGCACTCCTCACCGGGCCTAACCCCCTCCCCGGCACTCCTCACCGGGCCTAACCCCCTCCCCGGCACTCCTCACCGGGCCTAACCCCCTCCCCGGCACTCCTCACCGGGCCTAACCCCCTCCCCGGCACTCCTCACCGGGCCTAACCCCCTCCCCGGCACTCCTCACCGGGCCTAACCCCCTCCCCGGCACTCCTCACCGGGCCTAACCCCCTCCCCGGCACTCCTCACCGGGCCTAACCCCCTCCCCGGCACTCCTCACCGGGCCTAACCCCCTCCCCGGCACTCCTCACCGGGCCTAACCCCCTCCCCGGCACTCCTCACCGGGCCTAACCCCCTCCCCGGCACTCCTCACCGGGCCTAACCCCCTCCCCGGCACTCCTCACCGGGCCTAACCCCCTCCCCGGCACTCCTCACCGGGCCTAACCCCCTCCCCGGCACTCCTCACCGGGCCTAACCCCCTCCCCGGCACTCCTCACCGGGCCTAACCCCCTCCCCGGCACTCCTCACCGGGCCTAACCCCCTCCCCGGCACTCCTCACCGGGCCTAACCCCCTCCCCGGCACTCCTCACCGGGCCTAACCCCCTCCCCGGCACTCCTCACCGGGCCTAACCCCCTCCCCGGCACTCCTCACCGGGCCTAACCCCCTCCCCGGCACTCCTCACCGGGCCTAACCCCCTCCCCGGCACTCCTCACCGGGCCTAACCCCCTCCCCGGCACTCCTCACCGGGCCTAACCCCCTCCCCGGCACTCCTCACCGGGCCTAACCCCCTCCCCGGCACTCCTCACCGGGCCTAACCCCCTCCCCGGCACTCCTCACCGGGCCTAACCCCCTCCCCGGCACTCCTCACCGGGCCTAACCCCCTCCCCGGCACTCCTCACCGGGCCTAACCCCCTCCCCGGCACTCCTCACCGGGCCTAACCCCCTCCCCGGCACTCCTCACCGGGCCTAACCCCCTCCCCGGCACTCCTCACCGGGCCTAACCCCCTCCCCGGCACTCCTCACCGGGCCTAACCCCCTCCCCGGCACTCCTCACCGGGCCTAACCCCCTCCCCGGCACTCCTCACCGGGCCTAACCCCCTCCCCGGCACTCCTCACCGGGCCTAACCCCCTCCCCGGCACTCCTCACCGGGCCTAACCCCCTCCCCGGCACTCCTCACCGGGCCTAACCCCCTCCCCGGCACTCCTCACCGGGCCTAACCCCCTCCCCGGCACTCCTCACCGGGCCTAACCCCCTCCCC